ATTTTTAAACCAAAGAAAGTTTTAATTTTGTTGATTTTAGATAACTTAACAGTGTTCCATTTGATTTGTTTTGCTTCGAGCCATCTCTGGCTTTTCTCGCATTGTTCCGAAATCGGCAAGGTAATTATTTCACCCTCTCTTCCGAGACACAGCTACCTTTAAAAACCAATAGATAATCACACGTGATATCCAAATCCGAATGAACGAATTATTGGTTAAACTGTAGTGAACGTACATGCTGACACTCGTCTTCATATTGTTCTCGCAATAAAACGACTAGAAGCACTTCCCTGATCACCGAATTAACAGCACAGAAAACTTACTCTTAGAACGGTATCTCCCATGTTAATTTTTTTTCAATTAAGTCCTTGTCTGGTAAGAGGCCATATAAAAGAAGAGAAAATAATAAAAAGAAGAAGAGAAAAAAAGCGCGGGGCTATTCAAATTTGACAGTAAAAATTATCCGCATTAAAAACTGTTAGCCAAATTAAGATTTGTTCACACAAACGGCATTTTTGCTTTATTATAGCGATATTCGCTATAATAAAGCAAAAATGCAGTTTTTGTGAACAAATCTTAATTTGGCTAACAGTTTTTAGATAAAAAAAAACAAGCATATTCAAAAAATAAATTTATTAAAGAATATATATAATACAAATCCAATATTTAAAAAATGTAATGTATATAAAAATTGTAATATGTATGAAGTAGCTGGATGGCTGCTACATATTCCAGGATACAACACTGTCCATCATTTTGTGAATAACTTTATCTGTGAAAAAAAGAAAGACAGTATAAGTACAATCTCATTAAAATTAATAAAAAATTATGAGTCCGAGGAATACTTTATTTTTTAATAAGTCCAACATCTATGATACAGCTTTGCAACCCCAAACGTTATGAAACAGAAATTACACAGTATATGCCGCGTTTGAGAATCCACATCAGATGCATCTGAGATGTAGTAAATCTTTGATCACCTGATTCAGCATACGTAAATGTAATGGGACAGATGTGTCCGATTTAAAATAAACTATTTGAGGCGCTGTTCTCCACATCTCAGCAAATGGGCTAAAATAATAATTTATAATACTCTATTATTACCTCATTTTAATTATTGTGCCACTATACTGTATTTGCTCAACCAGAATGAGTTGCAACGATTGCAAAAGTTGCAGAATAGAGGTATGAGGATAATAATAATAGCTGCTCGAGATTGGAACCAATCAATTCCATGTTGAATGTGCTTCAGTGGTTGCCTGTTAAAAAATATTTGCTATTCTATTCTCTGCTTTTTATATTTAAAATTAAATCAGGAATCTCCCCAGTATATTTTCAAAATATTTTAAGTTATAATCAGGATGTTCATGAACATAATAAAAGTAATAAGAAAGAAAAATTTTAGAGTTTATAAGGCCACGAAAAAATGTACACAGAATTCAGTGTTTTTTAAAGGTGTACAGGCTAATTTTCCGGAAGATATTAAATATTCTACAAACGCAGCAATATTTAAAATAAAACTGCCTGCATACCTGTTGACCTATTGACGTTTTTTTTTCTCTTTCTTGTCCTTTTATTGTTTTTTATAGTTGACATGTAAGTGTAATTTTTTATTGCATTTTAAATGTATGTTGATTCTATATTTATGTATTTTTTTATATTTTAAATATGAAGATGTATTGACATGTAAAAAATAGTTTTTTTGACTAAATAAACGATTTATATATGTGGATAAAAAAACGCTCGAGATGTAAAAAATGCATCTGATGTGGATTCTCAAACGCGGCAATAAGTATAAAATAAATGAGTAGAGTACTAACTTTCCTTCTCGAAAAGAAGTCCAACATATATTATTAGTCTGCTTCTTCTTCTACGATACAGCTTTGTAACCCCAAATGTCATGAAATAGAAAATACACAGTATAAGTATAAAATAAATGAGTAGATTACTAACTTTCCTTCTCGAAAGGAAGTCCAACATATATTATTAGTCTGCTTCTTCTTCGAACCTTTACTTGAAGTAGAAGGTGTTTGATCAACATATTCAGTTTCTACGTTATTTGAGGAAAGTCCATCCGCTACTCTTCCAGGAACTGCTGGGAGGAATAGCATTGGAAAGCTTCAGGTGTTAGACCTCGACGAGAGCCAACTACTTTATACTTCTCTTCAAAATGTTTATGACATACTACAAAGGTGGAATAAATTTGTAGTCGTGTTTTATTATTAAATCTTGGACAACGAACACCAAGTGCCCAAATATCAAATAAATCGGGTGAATTCGTAGGGTGGGGCAGGCGATGCATCTTGTTGTCCACATCAAGGCAATTCGGTACACAACATTTTCTATAATTACGAATCTTTATGGAAAAGCACAAAATAACAGCGGAAAAAGCACAAGATAACAGCTCAAAAAGCACAAATGTATATTGGAAAAACAAGCTTATTAACAGTGGTAAACTAAATCAATTAAGCAAATTGGAAATGAAAACACAACTGAATACAACCACAATATAAATAAACAACATTCTCGTTTGGTTTAAGCCAAGACGCCATGACACCCCTCACAAAAATCAATATTCACCAATCCTTCCTCCGAAAATCAAAGTATGTGTTCCTCCATGATTCACCTGTCCGTTACACTCCCACCACCCACCCCACCACACGACTGCAGCGCCACCTTGCGGACGTGGTTGATTTTTGCTCTATCCCAGGCCTGCACATACCAGTTTCACACCCCTGATTAACAGTTTCTAACACGACCTGAAAAACCCAAGCATACCGGCATTTTTATTTTTAACACAAAACATTACAAATTAAAAGGCTACCTGAGCGATTAATTTTCTAACAAGAATTAAATGGTGTACATAGTGAATAAGTTATCGTGTATCTTTAAAAAAAATTTTTGTCTACAGACAACTTGTATCGAAAGATTCAGCTCCTAAATACCGTCCATACTATAAATATCGATCTAATTTATCAAAGAGTGAATGTGGCATTCAGATTAATATGTCTAACTCTCACAGTTATTTATTTAAAATGACGTCAGTATTCTTATATATTTCCATTATTATAATTTGACATAAAATTTGAGAAACTCTAAATTGGTTATTCCCACAAGCAAACTTATACCATAAAAAAACCAGAAACAAAAGACTGCAAGCCGATTATAAGTATTTATATGTTACATTATCATTCGTCTCGGTGGCGAAGTTATCTTATTACGTGCTTGCATTCATTTACAAGCAATTTTGTGGTTGAAAGACACGCGGCTTCGAATCTTATTACAGACCAGGTAAATTTTTAATTAATTTGCATGGTTTGTTATAGGATTTGATTTCTGACTTATAAGAAGAAATTTAATTACGGTTGATATGACATCCAGATTATAAATCGCCATGCGTTACCATTTCGATGATGGTGGGTGAGGTTTTCGCCTGTAAGTCAAGTGGCTCCATAAATGATCTTTAGGTAGCCCCGGTGCACCACGGCAAATAATAATAATGGCTGTCCACTCCCCGGACAAGGCAGCTTTAGGGGTTACATTCAATCGTAAGTAAAATTTTTTTGGCGTTTATGAATCACAACGGTAATCTGTGTCACAACTATATAGAAAAAACATCTGGCTCCACTGTCGGCAAATTATGACCATCCATATAATGAGATCAATACGTTTGTTGTAGTGAATAAAATAAGCTTCATAAGAAATTCATTGTATTTAAAAAACATTGGTATTTAAAGTACTAAAGATAGAACAAAAATTCTAAAAATAAAATTTTTTCTTTCTAGAGTTTTTGTGCCGGCTCACAGATGTACAAGCAAATTTGCGTTTTACGACTTAAAATGATCTTAAACTGAGAGAAAAGTATTGAAAAGTGGGTCTCCATAGATAGGAGTGGTCAGTAATAAATAATATCATGTATAACGGATTTTTGTAGAATGTAAAATTTAATGAAAATTTTATAAAGAATAGTTGGATTGTTGATAGATAAAAATAAACTAAAAATGAGTACTTAAAAATAAAGTACCTAACTGATGAAATATTTTATTACAAATAGGACAGCATAGAGATCAACCCTCGTACAAGACTCGAAAACAAAATTTAACGAAGAGGTATAAAGCAGTTTTGCGATGTTTCCAGAGGAGAGTGCTAATAAATATAAATGGGACCATAACCGAAAAAGGGTAGGGTTGGACTTGAAGAGGTAATTACCCCTGATATACTGACATATTTTTTCGCAGCTGATTAAATAACATAAGATCGGTAGAGAGAGAAGTTATGGACAAAGGATTTCGAATTAGGTACTGGATATAATTAAAGGCGAAATATAATGAGAAGTTTGTTATTAATAGTAAATAATACAGCAACGTTTTTAGATACGGGGTGACAATTTTAAAATTTACAATGTTTATGACTCATGAACTGAATAAAATACATAAAACCGCTTTTAGGATACGCAGGGGGAACTTAACTGACAAAATAGATAACTAACCCTCATCAACCCGCTATACGCCACCTACCTCCAAGTGCGTAACCAGGGAGGGGTAGGGGGGCAGCTGCCCTCTGCTCATTCGTCGCAAGCTTTAAAATATTTTAAAATCACTTCTCATATGTCATTTCCAATAGTTTTATTTTTTTATATTTCAATGAATTTTCTAATATCTCAATAATTTCTTTTGAAACAGTAGTTGTGTTTCGACTAGAAAAAAGGATGATTAGATTCGATAGAATATTAGTACTTCTACCCTTATTTCATTTGTATGTAGTAGAAAAATTTTGCTTATTTGATTTGCTGTTACTTTTGTCACGAAATTACGGCTTAATGTCACAGATATTTAAAATGTCACAGGAACAAATATCACTGATACTTGAAATGCACGATATTGCCCATCTCTAGTGTGTTCGGAACAAATAATATTTCAATAAATTAATACGGCAATAAGTACTCGACAAATGCGTCGGTCAAGGATATGACAGTTGCTCGAAAATGGCCAGAAAAGACAATGGGGTGCAAAAACGTCTACGCGATTTTTCCAAAAGGAGTGTATTTTCACTGTGCCAGTAACAAACTTAATCTTGTTGTTAACGATCTAAATCAGGTCCCTGAAGTACGAAACAAAGACATAATCAATATTTTTCGGGAATCGCCGTTAAGAAGGGCACACGCTCCTACAATACCACTTTTATGTGAAACGCGATGGACGCAGAATTACAAGAGCTTACGGATGTTTAAGGAAAATTTTGTAACCATTATAAAAGGACTTCAACTGATAGCTATTAAAGGAAATTCAATAAGCCGTAAACAAGCAGATTGGCTGCATGCTGCTTCAACGCGGAGCACTTTTATATTTTTCCTTTGTCTGATTGCAAAATACTCTTGTTACTTTTAGAGCCTGTGGTAAATTCGTTACAGGCAGTTGCAATATATTTGGTTAAATATTCACATCAAATCGAACATATCGTGGAATTAGTAGGTAAACATCCTGACAAAGCGAAGGAGACAGTGGAAGCTATCATGAATGAGTTGAAAGCAATTGGCATAGAATTGGATGTAGAAATACGTGTGCCCCAATTAGCAACCAAACAGTCATTCCGTGCCAACCCACTAGTGTCAACACCTGAACAGTACTTCAAAATATCTATTTTAATACCCTACTTAGATTCTTTCTGTAATTCATTGAAAGAGCGTTTCAGCGGGAAGCAAGGACCGGCCATCGAACTATAGAATCTTCACCCCACCAAAGTTAGAGTGTTATCTGTAGACATCTTGCAATCTTCCGGAGCAGCAATAGCCGACTTTTATGATATTACAAACAGCACGAGAATTAGAATTGTGGCACCGGTTCTGGACTTTAAAGGATGAAGAAGACACTAACCTCGACTTCGTGTCCGTTTTAGCTAAGACCGAATTTTACAAAGCAATTAAGAAGGCAATAATGGTTTGCTTAGCACTCTCGTGCACAACTGCTTCCACTAAGAGGACGTTCAGCACCCTTAGGAGAGTGAAAACCTGGTTGAAGTCCACAATGGCCCATGAAGGATTAAGTGGACTGTGCTTGATCAGTCTACACAGAAAACTAGTATCGAACGACCAAAACTTCAAGGAAAGGCTTTAAAAAAATTCGCTGAAAAGAAAACAAGAAGGTTAAATTTATTATAGACTTTGTATTCGATTTTTTGTATTGCATCTTCAAATCATTAATAAAATAAAATTTCTACTTTTATTTCTTGTCACTTTCTTAAAACCGGTTTCGGTTTAGTTTCTATTTCCGAGTTTATTTTACATCTTAATTATTAATTATTTTTAATATTTTTTTTTTTTAAAACTCGGTCACCTTAAATCCACATCCCTTTGTAAAGGCTGTCAAGGCTGGCACTCATGCTGCCCTCCCTGAATGAAAGTCTGGCTACGCCCATGCCTACCTCATAAAAAAAAATTGATGTGTCCGACACATGACTTTCCTGTCTAACCTAAAGTTATTATTGGTTTTTCCGGTTATTCTGTACAAACTATTGTATCACCCCTGTAAATATTTAGAGGATGAACTAAATACATTCATTTTTCACACACATTTTTTAATATATTCACTGCCACCGAAAATACTGCTATAGTATTTTTAATACTAATACCGACGCACGTCATAAATCATTTATGAAGTCGCGACCTTACAGTGTTGTCTAATTGTCAGAATACTCGAGAAATGCAGGCAGTTTTGAAAGTTTAAAGTTAATGCATAATAAACATCTGCAAAAAATGCTGTAAACATATTGCAAATAATCAAGGGACACAAAAATGTAGAGAGTATGCCTTTCGCAGATGAATTAAACACCGTCTTCAGTAAAATCGATCCATAATTAGCAAAGAAAAAGTAATATCAGTTCACCAAGAAAATTATATTTATTATATTATATTTAAGTTAGAAATCATACTCCCCATAAAATTAAAGAGAACATTGAAAAAATTAAATTTAAATTTACAAGTCGAGATACCTACTTAAAAAATTCAAGAAAGAATTTGCTAAACTATTTAAACACAAGATTAAAATTGTTAAAATACAGGGAGTCCCGAAATTAGACGGTTATACAGGGTGTTAAAAAAAAGTGTCACAAAATGAAATGGTGAATAGTATGACCCAAAATAAGCAGAAAAGTCTTAATAAATATATGACCGCAAATTAACGGTTTCGGAGATACGGACCATTTTGTGTTTATAACAATTTTTTATTATTATAAAAAAACAATGATATTTATAAACAATCAATAACAACATAGAGTTAAATGAGTGGTTCAAAGTGCCCTCCCTCCATTTCAATGCATTGCCATTTGCACGACCGTACATAAAATGCATGTCACCTTATTCAATATTAGTGTAAACAGGCATAACGAAAATTTATAAAATTATTCACCCACAACAAAATAATAACTGCAAATAGTATCTATGAAAAAACATCGGTAGACTCCGATAAGAAACGCAAGTTTTTGAGAATGAAAAAAGATAATAAAAAAATGATACAAAACTCAAAACACTCCGTATCTCTGAAACCATTCATTTGCGGACATATGTTTATTAAGACTTTTCTGCATATTTTGGCCCATACTACCCCCCGTTTTATTTTGTGACACTTTTTTTTTAACACCCTGTATTTTAACAGCGTAATCTACATCATAAAATACTAGTAAAAGTTCATGTAAACATAGGTCCGAAAACGTCTCATTTTAGAGATACAGGGTGTTACAAGTGAAGTCCTGATGGCACATTTTTGCAAATATTTTCGAATTTGGTCGTACCTTCCTAATTTGCATTTTATATAGATAAAATTAAATAATTTATCAATTTAAACATGCGAGACTTATTTATAAATAAATACAACAGTATATTCTGAGCTTTATTCGGCAATAAAGAAGTTTATTTTTATTATTTTGATAAAATTATGTAAAATTCCCATTAAAAGGATATGTATTTTGAACTGCACTACTAGCACCAGCGCCCTTGCGGTGAATTAAAAAAGCTCACTTAGCGTTCGGTTTTTGGAACCGTATTTCGAGTATGCCAATTCGCCTCCTTATCTCTAGTCTTCATAATTACTTTGCTGGTAAAAAAATTTCATCAGACAGTTCGTTAATTACTAAGGGTTACCAAATGACATTTTGCAAAAAAATATTACACTGTGTATATCTTTCTGTTTACCTTCTGAATAGCCTATTTCGTCTATCGTCCGAGAAAAGATCGAATCTATACTCAATAAAGAATATTATTCGCATCCAATCTTCTTTATTTTATGATAGGTAATAGGTAATATTCACGTGCAAAATTCAGTCTTTGCATCCGGTGCTCCCTGGTGAACAAGGGACCTGTGGCTACCCTTCTTGGCCTGATATCCGCATCTAAAAGTATTCTTTTAGCAGTTATTGTTGCTCAACTTATTCTAAAGTTATAGTGCTCAACAAATTCAATTCGCAAAGATGAACTAACTGATCACAAACCTTTGCCTCAATGTTCGGATACGTAGAAAACGATCTGGGTCATGTTTTGTAACCTTTCCTATATCCTGACCTGGTCTTCTTGAGTTGTAATCCGTTTCAGGAAGCCGCCTCAGAACTCTGAAGATTGTGGATTGGTTCAAATTAAATCGTTAAGCGAACTGAGCTTATAACGAATCTAATGCGGTCATCTTCGGATAAATTACGATTTTGCATTTGTTGTCAATTTATTTTATGGGAAAACAAGTAATACTTAAATCACCTGTTATATTGAAAGAACGTCACACAGATAAATAACACTGAACTAAATAAAACAACTTTTTTCATGTTTAATTTTATCGGACTAAAAATCGATAATATTAGAAATTAAACAAATTTTGTTATATGTTCCTTTTTGAAATTATCCGTTAATTTGACAAAAAGTGTATTTTTATATATTTTTAGTTTAATATTACAAAATAAATATGATTTACTTTTGAATTTCACCTCGTATAGTTTGGTAATAGGCCCAAGTATCTAGCATTTTTTAAAATTCATCGAATCCCAGCCTGTGGTAAAAAACTTATACCTCGCCCTTAATAAATTACCCTTGAGAATTTTATATCCCAATTAGAACTCGCCGTATGGTTGATTTAGCAATGTCCACAGATTTTAAAATTAACCTAACATTTATTTTCAGGGAATAATCACTGCGAATCCAAAAGAGATTTATCTTCAAACAACGCTATCTATTTTTAGTTGGAAACTAGGAAGCCTAGCCAAAAAGTAAAGAAAGAAAGCGCTTTTCCCTTGAGATAGTAAAATTAATCGACTCCCCCTAAATAGAAAATCCATTTGGTTTTCTGGTTCCAAGTTATACAATAACGTTTTTGACCTATATTCGAAAACATCGATCCGTTGTGGTATAGTAGATGGAATAGAGTAGTCTGGCCCTATATAAGGTTGACTTGACGTCTTTATTCATGAGACCAAATTACTACGATACAAAATTCCGCGGCATCATTTCGGAATTTAGTCGTGGCCTGCCCTGCCCTTTTGCGGATGCCTCCACCTACTCGGTCTTAGGGGAGAATATAATTAAGACCGCGATTGCGGTATGCATATAAATATCCTTATTAAAAAGTGTGTTACGCTTATCAGGAAATAAAATATTAAATAGAGATATTTATATATTTTTTATTACGCCTTGAAAACATTCTGTTTACACAATGTTTTTGACAACAAAAAGGCCTGTTTTTTGGTGCGACCCAGAATAGGTGAACAGCAATACAGAAAGAAAAGTAACGATCGGTACTTTGAAGTAGAAGGAATAGAAATATCTGATCTTCAGTTCCACCATAGAGATACTATGAGAAAACTGTTGCACGCATACATAAATTATTTATTGAAACTACACCGCGAAAACTACATTTATTTATATATACTCAACGGTCAATAAAGCATGGTATATAATCTGCATTCAATAGCGTTTGTTTTGGGTTCAGATGAAAAATGTTACGGACACTATAACCAGTGTCGCATCATTTTTACGGGTTTTGCAATTAATATAAATAAGAAATTAAATTACATTTCTTCAAAATACAGTTTTTAAATTTAAATAGACTTGCGTTTGAGTATCTAGTAGTAGTAAATAATTATTATGTAACTTAAATAAAGAAATCTTTGATTTTTACTTTCCTGAATTCAGAAAAAAGTATAAGCCTATAATAACTTAGGTACAGGAAAGTCTTGTATTGGACACATTAGATTTTTTTTAAATCTTATATGTGTCTGGTTTTAACGAAATCCGATGACGGTTGTTATCAAATATATTTGGTATCAGCGCATCGAATTAGTATGGAGAAGAGATGATATACCATATAAATATTCAAAATAATGTGATACCACTATACTGACCTTAGGATGGTAACAAGACGACGCCTTGAGTAGGTTCAGACTCAGAATTTTTTGGGCTGTTTAAAGTGCATGTAATAATTTTATTATGTATAAAGGACCCCGCACTTTTTACATTGATTTTGGGTACGGGCAGAATTTGTTCAAATTTTAGTATGTTATTTTTCAGGTCATTAGGGACAACTTTCTTATGGACCTTAAGTAGGCAGCTCTACATGGTGAGTTGTTAGAACGATTCAAAAGTAAGGAGTGCAGAATTAATATTTTCAAATATATCTCCACCACTCTTGAATTTCTTGTCTTTTTCATTAAACCTATATCATGTGTTACCCTTGTATATAGTTTGTTAATGCTTACTTACACTTTGCAAAATAAATCATACAGCGTGTTCAAAAAATTAGGAATAGCAGTTACTGAAATATGGTGCATTTTCCATGTATTACCATAGTTAAAATATGACTTCTGGCCATTTCTTTATTTCATTTCATATTAGATAATTTTTATAAGTAATACAGGGTGTGATAAAACTACACAAACAACTAAGAATTACAAAAACTCATTTAACGAAAAATGGGTATACCTAAAACATTGTAGAAAGTTTTGAAACGAATTCAGTTTATCTAACCAAGTCCCGTTCTAAGCCTACTTAAATGTAGAAATAATTCTACTAACTCTGATTTGAATGAATGACTGAGAAGACATATTCTAATTGAAAAACCCTTTCTGATTTTTATACACAGTACAGATGTCAACTTATCACTTCTAAAT